CGGCAGCACCGCACACCTTCTTCCCCGTAGACGGCCCCGACGGTTTCCCACTCCCCGCTTTCGCCTGTACCCGCGCCGGTCCCCGGGGCCCGACTCCAGTCCCCACCCGGACCGCGAAACTGCATGAGTGAGTGTCAGCGGCATTCAGTACAGTTACTGACGTTCCGTGCTGTGAACGATCGCCCGTTGATCGCCGCCGTCGCCGTCGCCGTCGCCGTCGCCGTCGTCGTCATCGGCTTTAAACGTCGGCGTCGAGTGCAATCGAGATTTTACTATGCGCCGCTCTTGATACACATATATGCGGTCTGTAAGTGGTGTTATCCTCTTCTCCACGGTCCCGAACGGACCCCTGGTCTCCCTCTTCTTCATCTCTCACGGATGGTTTTCTCTTTCTCTTTTTGCGTGCCAGTCCCGTACGTTCCGCCGGCCTCTCTCTCTCTCTCTCTTCCACGCGCGGCAGGTAGTCCGTGATCTCGCATGGCCACAGGTGTGCGCAAGGTGCTAACGTTTTCTCGACGAGCGGATCGAGCCGCAGGGGCCTTATGTTGCTCGGCCGATCGACCTGATTCGAACGGCGGCGCAATTCGTCAGGCTCTCCCGTCGCTCGTCCTTGAGTGAGATGGACCTAGACTGGCGATAGATCGAATCACGATCGATTGCCAGAATTTAAACAACCTCGCGGAGTGATCGGTGACTTGTCTATCACGGGATTACGTGCAATCTTAATTGTGAATCTCAGCGTATAAATTAACTAACGAATAAGATATAATACATTTTTTTCGTACGTGTATAATAATCGTGACGCGTGCAATGCGGTCTACCGAGATCGAATAAAAATAATTTCGCCGAGATATCTCGAGAATCGTGGAAACCTCGAAGACACGTTGTGACAGCACATATTGAAAAAATGTTAAATTATATGATTTTATTAACTTTATATGATTTTAATTACTCTCTGTGTGAAGTGCCTGTGATTCGAAAAGAGCTGATTAAAGGGGTATATTAATTTTGCTAGTTGAACGTCTAAATTCGCGATATCGGAAAAAAGACAATATTAGTTCAACATTTCAATGTATAACGTATCGTCGAACGTGCTCGCGAACGTGCCGATGAAAAGCGGTCCGTTCCAACGGCACTCGACTTTGATCGAGTGTTATATCGTTCCGAATTGCAGTTATTTTAGGGCGAACGGGTCCACGGTTGCATTTACGACGGAATTAATATCACTGTAAATCACGATAGATTTTACACCGTGTAAAACATACGCTGCCATTTCGGGAAGCAGTTTCATCCGCGCGATCAACGCTCTTTAATGGACCTCCGGATAAATAGGTGTGACTTTATATACCATATTCGATCGAGAACAGCGTTATCATTAATTCAATTACGATTCGGTCTTGCAGTAGTAAGGAGGAGATCGCGAAAGGAAGGAGAAAGAGAAACCCGTTAATAGGAGAGGAGCTTATGTTAATCCTCGACTTTCCAAATTCCTCGTCAAGGTGACGCCTATCGAGTGAGCCACGGTGGACTTGGTATGCACGTATGGATGAGATCATCACGATGACCGTACCGCCGCCACTATCTGCGAAGACACAGGCCCGGGATGCGGCGAGCCAGGCCGCCGCTCGGCAGACTGTGTCAATCCGGACCGTATCCCCTTCCGTCTCGCCGCCGCTCGCCGCCGGACCCGGAGCAACGGTATTTGTCGGAGTAAGCGCTCCTACCGCCGATTCCGTGACAACCTGCAGGAGAAGAATCCCGGAAGTGCAATCGGCGAACGGCGGCTGCGAGGAGCGGAGCAACAACGTCGTCGAGTCGTCGCAGCAGCAGCAGCAGCAGCAGCAGCAGCGGTGGCAGCAGTCGCAGCATCTTCATCATCAGCAGGCCGCGCATATAGTGAAGATCAAGATCAATCCGGATGGCGATAAGAACAGTAGGGTGATATCGACGGTACGGTTGACCTTGGACGAGAACGAGCGGAATCACGAGGTCGAGAACGGTGCCGCGCGCGAACGTTCCTCGGGCAAACAACGCGGAGACAACGGTGCGGTGGTGGTGAGTGCGACAAACTTGGTGAACGAGCGACACTGCGCGAGTGCCGGTATCGGTGACGGCTGTGTGAGGATCAGTGTCTTCAGCGGCGACCCGCCGACCGGGTCCGACAATCGGGAGCGCAACAACAATCATAACAACAACAGCAACAGCAGCGGCAGCGACGACAGCGATAAGCGTAGCCAGGACAACGACAGAAGCGACAACAGAGACATGGTGCACCGCGGTACCACGGAGACCCTGAACTCGTCCACCCTCGGCGGCCGTACGAGCGCCTGTTTCTACTACAACTCCTACCAGAGCCCGTTGAGCGGCATGGTGATGACGAGCGGGCAGTGCTCGCCCAGCGACACCCTGGACAGCGGCACTTGCAGCGACCTTGACGGAACGCCGCCGCCGTTGCCGAAGAAGAAGAACGCCAGCAGCACGGTGATACTGTCCAACAGCACGCACAACCGGACCGGCAGCCTGACCAGCAGCGGCGCCGAGGTCGACAGCGACGACAACGAGAGCAACATCAGCTGCGACTCGTTGAACGGCGCCGAGGTGAACGGCGAGTATCGAGTGCACGAACCGCCGAAGGACGTTGAGGAGACGGTGGGCGTTGTTGAGAAATTGGCCAGCCGAATCGCGCCGGCGAGCGATCGCGTTGACGGCACGATCGAGGAGTCGAGCGGTGTCCATCAGCGTCAGGTCTCGATAACGGAACTCGGTTGCGCCGCGCGCTCGCCGGTGTCGTCGGCCAGCGTCTCGCCGTCGCCGTCCGGAACGTCGTCCCTGTCGAAGGCCTCCTCGACGCCGCGGGTGAGGAGCCCCGATCCCGCGATCGAGCAGAACGGCCAGTCGCCGGTGATTAAAGAGTGCACGTACGAGGAGAGGAAGCGGCGGGAGCAGGAGAGGATAGAGCAGGAGTGCGTAAATGCCACGCAGAATCGGTCGACTGGTCACAAGTACCTGTACGAGGACGACAGGTACTACAATTTCCACGTGAACGAGTTGCGCGGTAATAATAAGAACTCGAACGGCGAGCACAAGGGGACGGCCGAGAACGAAGAGTGTTTCGCCGGTTACAAAATCCACGACAAGGAAGCCATACGAAGTGCCAAAGGGACCGTGCGCGGTGTGAAGAACAGAGTACGAGCGGGCATCGCGACGTTTCTGCAGTCGCCTACCTCCAAGGTTTGATCAATTTAACTTCCGATGCACATACGCGCGGCGAGATTAAATTTCAAAGAGCGCGAATCAATCAACGGCCCATAATCGTATTTGTAAATTTTCACATATTCGCACCGTGAACGCGGCAAAACAAACGGAAGCGCGTGACCTATTTCAGGAATATCCCATTCAATAAAATTATTAATTTAACTTTAAAGAGAATGAAAATTAGGTTGCTGCGTATTTTGTAGAGGAGAGTTGCGTATTTTCACGCATGCACAGAGAAAAGAGGAGCGTTATTTATTTCAGGTATAAGCACCCGTTCAGTAGAAAGTCAAATTGTTTGACTGTAAAGAGCACAATTAGTTTACACAGCGCGGATATCCGTTTTCAAACGATATACAAAAATAGCGATTAATAGTGGTGCGTATATTATTTTCAACGAAGGCTGTAGATAGCTTTTAAATTAATTTAGAAAATACCGTATCGATAATGTGCGTTAATCGCACTTTATCGCAAAATGTATTTACCTGCCCGTCAGGGGCCTATTTATACAAGAAAGTAACTAATAATGTTTTATTTATGGACTTGTGTAACATTCCACTAAGCGCGCGTTCACGGCTTCGCGCACTTTAAATATCGACCAATCGACGCGGCAGTGCCGAGCTGAGCCCCGTAAACGACAGGGTCGACTTGTTATGCAAATTAGGCGCTGGCAAAGTACCTGAGGTGCGTATCAACGAGCGAGCCCCGGAATCGGTATCGGGCAAGCCCCGGCGCAAGCTCGACGGCACGAACGCCACAAACCCGTGCACCGAGCTGGGAGATGCACTTGATTCGCATGGTCTACGGGTCGACGCGAGGCGTTAGATTTACAGTTAGATAGCCGTACCGTCCTCCATCCCGCTCGCCACTTCGAATCAGATGGCACGAATTGGTAACTATATCGCGCATTCGAATTCGCATTCCGCGCATGTGTCGCGCACAGACGCCGCATCTTCGTGAAGAAGCAAGTAATCCTTAATAATGATTGATTAGACGTGTATGATTGATATATTGACATATAATTATTGACGCTTCGTCGAAAAAAAGAATTGCTCGTCTGCGGAATAAATGCATAAATAAACATCTTGTTTTTAAAGATAAAAGATGGAAACGTCACCGGCGTATATTTGCATAACGTTTGCAAAGCTGCGGCCGCGCTGTTGAAACGACCGAGAAGAGGGGAAGAAGGCTGAGTGATTTATCCTTATTTTTTTTCTTTCTTTCGCGTGGCAGTGCGTTAGGATTTTATGACCGGTCTGTGAAATCACCCAAGGGACTCTCTTTCATATACCTCTGTCATAAAATAAATGAAAGCGACGTCAATAGACAGGTTCCTTGACGGCTCCCGCTCGAGAGGGCAGGACAGGAGATCGCGCGACGATCTGCAGCGAATGATAATCTTCCCGCGATGTCCCTTGACAAATATTTACCATCGTCTTGTCGTTGAACACGTTTAGTCGTCGCGATAATCGGCTTACCTGTGGCGTATACGAGCTTATTTGCCGTCTACCGGTTATTCGATGCATTTCGCATTGAATTCCTCTCTCTCTCTCTCTCAGATTCTGACGCGAAATCCTGGCTATTAAGATGTCGCGAAACGGATTTGAGGCAAGCAACATATTATATACATATGTATATATATATATATATATATATATTGGAATGCGCGTCTTTATTGCCAAGTTTCCGGTGTTGCTATGCGAAACGTGCGTACGCGACGCTCGTACCATCGATGCGGAACGGATCGACGTAACGGTAGATTCGATAAAACGATATTACGGCAACGTACTGAGAAACTGCGACGTGTACGCAACGTTACTGAGAAACACCGGCCGCGCGAAACACAAGCCACGTTACGTCCTCACGTTCGTCTTGCCTCCTCGTGGTATGTTCCTCTTTGTTATCGCGCACCCGCGCCCGCGCCGTCCGTCCCGCTCTCGCTCGCTCGTTCACTCGGCCGCGCGGCCTATTTCGCGAAATTACAGAGACCGAGAGGGTACCTCGCTTGCACGCAAATGCGCTTGGCAACGGCTGAGAAGTAATCCCGCACTTCCTCGCGGCTGAATCCGCCTTTGAGACTTCCACGCCTCGATTGCACTTTTCACGTGCAGTCCACCGCGAACGTGCGATTATCTCCGTTCCCCGTGAAAATCGACGCTCGCGACGCAAATGATGACATTTTAATGAGCGCGCGTTCTATATCGTCCTGGTAGTTTACAACAGGTATATAGTTATACCGCCAGAAAATTCTATCTCGCAGTATTAAAATATTAGATATTTTTTTTTTTTAGGAAATATTTAACAATATTTTTTCATTTTATTTTAAACGCTGCGTTTTTAATGTATCCAACAATATTTTTTATTTATTCAGTAATATTTTTATTTATCCAATAACATTTTTATTTATTTATTTTGTTTACTGCAAATATATAAATTCTTCGTACAAATCGGCATTTAAAATCGATAGTAAATGTATTCAAAACTGTCAGTCGTGATAGTTGGTACATTTTATGCAGCGTAGCGCGTTCTCTGTAAACAGCGACCGAAAGTAACACTTGCACTTTCGGAATGTCCGCTTTAAGCTCGGATAACGATTTGATTGATCGCCATGGAATGGCTGCTATATGCCAATAGATTTTTTATGTGGTTGATACATTAACCGCACAGTCGGGTAACCGCAATTTACGACATCGAAATGTCGTGCGTGATTTTGCCAGACCGCGCCACTGACCGGTGCGTGTAAGAAACTTGATTTCACATAAAGAAAAAAAAGGAAAGAAATTAAGTAGGTGTACCGAGACTTCGACCTGAAATCATAAATATCGCTTCGGGTAAACCACCGTGCAGCGTGCCCTACATTCGTCATTCCTCGCTTCCTCATTGCACACGAAGGCACGCAGATTCCATCTCTGTACGCGTCTTGCCCGTGCAGTATAAGGTCGCACTAACATTTTCTATTTTCCGCTACAATTGATTTTTATAGAGACATCTTAATTGATAACAATATATTGTCGAGTATATTTGATATATATAAAGCTTTAAATATAATTGTTGTTGACGTTTTTTTTTTAAATAATTTCACTACTGTAACGCCATTATATTAATTCAATTACAATGTTTTACCATGAATATTTTGGAAATATTATTTCTCGCGTATATTGGAATATTATTCCAAATCAACGCGATTTTACGATTGCTCTTTTTCATACAAAAATGTGTTTTATACGTACACAATGTAACTCTTCACGAAAATTCAATAAATTTAAAAATATTGTAAGTTTAGTTTGCGACATGCTTATAACAGGCAGTTTGCTTTGCGACAATTTTCTCCTATTGCTTAACGCTTTCTCCGCATAATAGAATTCTTGCGGTCGCGGAGCGAACAGTCGGAATTGCAAATGTCGGAATATATCATGCGAAATTACTTCCGAGTCTGAGAACTTCGTCGTTGTTTACATCATACTGGTGGCGATCTTGAAATCTCGTGAATTTCGATTACGCCTCCGTGATAAATACCATGGCTTGATTATTATTACGATTTAGCTTTAGTTTCAAAGCGAAGCAACATGCAATAGGAAACGACAGCTCTACTTCCGTGTAATTAACAGTTCAAAGCAGAGTTTCAAGTGCACAGCAGAATGCCTGACATAAGACATGTCTGAAACTGCCACAACAGTTTCTTAGAACGGAATGCGCCTATCTCATCATGTTTGGTATAAAAAACTCATGAGTTAAACCATCAGAAGAATTTCTTCTCAATGAATCGAAGAAAAACCACTTTGCTGCATAAATAAACAAATAAAAATAATCGCATACACATATTTCGATCGTCGAAAGATATACGCGCGTGTATGATTTATTTTACTTTTGATTCCGTAACGCGACAATTTGAATATCTTGCTTCCATACCAAATGACACATTTTACTGCCGCGGCGTTATATTTATTGCTTACAATTAATATTTAATATAAAGAAAACAATTCTCTGCCGAGAGTCGATCGTAACCGTGTGTGTGTAAGCACAAACACCTTCCGCATTAATCGCGCGTCATTTCAACGAGTGGTTATATACCGCGGAACAGTATATGCAATTAAAACGTTATACATTTAATGGCCAGACAATCTGTTTAGTGAATAGGGGTATACGCCTCGCTTAAAACTCCGTATTACGGAGAGTGGCTGGGTTTTACTGCCGGCGTATTTAATTAAAGAATCTTTATAAAGCCTTAACTGATGGCGCCGCGAAATAATTAAGTTACATCTGGGAGTATTATTTTCGCGCCGTGGAGTTCAATAACTGTGATTGCAATTAATTGGCAATTTAGCTATCAGCGGTCCGGCAAAGGAGGAAACTCGCGGACTCCGATAAAGACGTGATTGCGCGATCGAGCTGAAATCGATTAATATATTCATATGCTTATCAGGCAACTTTAACATCGAATAAACTTTAAGAAGTTAAAACTTTCTTCTTCGTCTTTTTCTTTCAGAGGAAAACTAGTCATTATCTTTCCCTTACTCGCGCGCATTTTATCAGTGCGTAACTAGTTACATAATTACTCGTTTTGTTACACGTAATAACGTATAAAAGCGTATTGGACGCATTCAACCGCGGTAATATGGCTTCTGCCGGAATTTCTCGGAATATATACTTTCTCGTGAAAGTGGAACACCAATAAATTAACGGTAATTCGTAAAATGAAAGAGTGATTGCAAATTGTTCTCGAAACCATTAATTTGTAATTCATTTTCATAATATATAACGTTTCTACACGAAAACTGCGACTGTCGCGTAGGTATGTTCCATATCCAAAATCCCCGGTCGTGCGATCTTGCTCTGATCAAACAGGATAGCTTCATTGCTTTCGTGCTTTATGCGCGCGGTATCGATGCACGTGTCTACGCATGCAGATCGGCTAGTTAAGTAGCATTACTCTCGTTTAGCATTACTATAAATTTTCATGAGGCTGATTCACACGTGTA